ATCTACGANTCTGTTGCAACATTTTTTCCCTCCATTTGCTTTGTTCTTAACAATTTATACAAATCCCAATCAAACTTTAAAGCTATAAAAATAAGTAAAATATTATGGTAGCAATTTGAATGTCAGGGAGGTACGACATGCACACTTGGTATATCACTTCATCTACGATCCAGATGCGAAAACCTGAGCTAAATGTCCGTACAAATAAACACTAATTAAAAACATGAAAAGGTCTTAAGAAGAAATAAGATAAAAATTTAATGCATATCTAAATCATTGAAGTACGCCCTTTTTTCCTGTCTCTTTGAATGAGCATAAAATTGATATACATTTTTATAGTGAAGTCATTTTGTTTGGCGAAAAGTCTCAAGCAACCTAAAACCCATGAACTTAAGTAATTAAATAGTTCCAAACAAACTGCATTCAAAAGATATGCCAAGAAGTCATCAGCCAAACACTTCTAAACTTTCATGTGACCAACTAACGATCAAGAAAGGCCTTTAGAAAACTGATTTCATTTCCCACAGATGGATTTTTCATATGAAGAAGTACTTTCTGAAAATAACTGTGCCTAGATATGGGCATCTAATTTTGAGTTGCTTGATCACATAATATCTAAGTTTTGTTTCTCATAAGATATGAAATCTTTATTAATAGGAAGAGAAGTAAAACAATGGTGGACAAGGAATCCAACTATTTAACAATAAAGAAAAAATAAAATAGTTACAATAAAGATATAAAATTTGAACACAGCGAGAGAAAAAAACCAGGTGAACCAATCATGGATTAATTTCTCTCCAGTTTTCTAGCAATTTCATGTTCACATCAGCCAAAGCTTCCATGGTCTCAGGCCTCACAATGATGGTGAGATTGTTTACCAGATCTGCACAGAACCATAATGAGAAAGTGAATATAACAGTAATATTGTAATAATTAATTAGCATTATAGGTTGATACTTAAGAAAATATTGCTTACCAGCCTTGGCCATCAGGTCTCCCAACCCGAGGACTAAACCTATCATTTGATGGGTGATCCATAAATCTCCACAAAAATCAAATCTTTAAGCTCTTTGAAACGAGAAAGATAGAAACCCAACTCAAATTTGATTGCAAAATGAAGAATACCCAAACCATTATGTCAAAAAATCTTGTCGATACCTTTGGAAATAGATCAGATTCACTGTAACTCAATCACTGAATAACTTTAGTATAATATCATATGTGCTTATTCATAATTAGAATATATGCAGCCAATTCAAAAAGAATCAAAGATGGGTCCGTTGGAGCGTGGTGAAACAAAATGTGTGTAGAAAATAGAAATCAATAAGGAAGATAAAGCCTTAGCAAATCAAATCTCAGATATTTGCACCATAATAGACCAAATGGATCATTGTCAATTTGCAAGAGACAAAAAAAAGGGAAAGACAAACTCCCAACATATGAATAGAAATAATACATGCATTTTGAAGAAGGACCTGACAAGGCTGGAACACGGGGAAATCATAAGAATTAGGCAATGTCATTGTAAGAGCAAGATCTTTACCAAGAAAACAAAAGTAGGAATAACCAAGGTTGTCTTTGACTACCCGGGAATGATCGTTGGATTTTCCACTCTTAATAGTGAAAGTAAGTTTCAAATGCTAATTGGTGGAATATCTATTGTAACTTGTAAGAATCTGTAGGGTCTGAAGACTGAACGCTTTGTATGCCATTTGAGTTGAAGGGCAAAATTGGATTTAAGGTATAAATTAAGGACAACACAAGAAAATAAAAGTTTTTTATCTTTACACACTTTTATATGTAGTATAGATAAAGTTGCTATATTGTTTGTTTTAATTTTTTTGCGGCTTATATTTTTTGAGGAGATTATTAATCCAGTGGTCCTCATGCGAAATTTTTCTAAGACTCCTATTTTTCATCTAACTCTATCTCATTATCTCATATTAATTGATATAACTATCTTTCTCCAACTCTAAAACTCATATCTTTCATCTAACTCTCTCTCTCTATCTCATATTATATGATACCTCACCCAGCACCTCTCTCTCCCTTCCTTTGCATCTCTGCCACACTCTCTCTATCTGTCTCTCTCTTTCTCTCTCACATATCTTTTAAACACACACAAAATTCACCTGCTATATCTCTTTCTCTCTCTCTCACTCACTCTCTTTCACACACACACACACACACACACACCTCCCTCTCAGTCTCTGCCTACCCACACGTCATCACCAAAGTTAGCGATTAGCCTCTTAGCGTTTGTGCATGCGTGTGTGTGTGTGTGTATATCACTACCTTGCTTAAATTTGATGAGTTTTGGATTTATGCGAGTACTATAGTGACATGGTTGTGTGGTTTTTTGTNTATATCACTACCTTGCTTAAATTTGATGAGTTTTGGATTTATGCGAGTACTAAAGTGACATGGTTGTGTGCTTTTTTGTTCTTAGTTTAAGTTTCACTATAGTACTAGAATTCATTCCATTTTTTTCTTTTGTCGACCCATGTTTGTAAGTTTTGCAATTCATTTGTAATAGTGCATAGTTTTTTATTGAATTCAGGGCTTATGTAATTTACCGTCACATGATTAGAAGGCGTCATCATTTTTCTAAATAGTTCCTACAATTCTTTATGGCAACAGGGAATTCATTTTAAAATGTTGTTGTTTTTCAAATGCTTTTCTGTGGTCTTAAAGTTTGCACGAAAAGAGGAACTACTTTTTTTAATTTTCATTTGATCTTTTAAATTTATGCTAAATATATGTTGCTGGTGAAGTTCATTGGGTCTACAAGCCCCAAGACTAAACCTTTATTCATATTTCAAAAACAACTAAAATTTGACAATGACTTTAACGGGTTTTGTTGGTTCTATTAGAATTATATAATGAGTTTTACCTTGATATTCGTTATGGTGTTTGTTTATTTGTTCAAAACTCTCATGAAAATATTAGATTATTTTTTTTAGGCACCTTCAAACAATAAAAAGATGGGAAAATTTCAGGGTATAGATTAACGGTGTTACTATATTATTCATGATATATTTTAAAAAAAATTCATACATACCCCCTCTAGATAGAAATATCTTCAATGAAGTCCCCTCTATTTTTTAAATTATTTATTTATTAAAATTCAAGTCGATTAAAATTTGATTTGAGCTAATTCAAATTTATTTTTTATGTATTAAAATTTGAGTTAATTAAAAATTATATTTTTTATATATTAAAATTTGAGCCGATTAAAAATTTATTCGAGACTCAAATAATCAAATTTTAATCAACTGACATTAAATTTTAATCTGCTCGAATTTTGATAAATAAATCAAATTTTAATATGTAAAAAATAAATTTTAACCAACTAGAATCAAATTTTAATAAATAAAAATATATAAATTTTAATCAACTCAAAGCGAATTTTAATCGGGGCTAACAGTTCAAGTAGAGCTCCAATCAAATCAAATTTTTATACGTAAAAAAAATTAATCAGCTCAAATCGAATTTTAATATGTAGAAAAAAAAATTAATTAGCTCAAATTTTAATATGTAAGAAAATGAATTTTAATCAAATTTTATGTAGAAAGATTCTTTTAAGTTTATGCAGGGACAACTTTGATATTTTAGATAATTTATTTTTGTTATAAGTGGTGTTTAATGATTCGGAGTGTCAACAATATTTAAATATAAACTAGAATGAGTGTTAGTGATATTTTTAATAATAGAGATGATATTTTTAAAGATATAGTAAATTAAAAGGGATGTGATTAAAATTTTCCCAAGAAAGATTAAGGCACTAAATTAGGTCCCAATAACATTGCTCTATAATTAAAAAAAAACCATTGAATCTTGTTAAAAAAAAACCAAAAAAACAAAAGAACAATGCTAAAAAATCCAAATGAAATCCTAAAAATTGCAACTTAAAATGCATATCATCCCTTAGATGAGTGAATTTCATCAATATTTTTAGTGAGATCTACTCATCTCACACTCATCTAAAAGATAATATGTATTAGGCCGAGGTGTTAATCATGTCGTGTCTTGTCGTGTCATATCAATTTCGGTACGTTTCGAGTTCGTGTCAATATTCGTGTTAATAAAAAAAAATTAATTAACAAATATAATACTATTTAAAAAGTTATAAAAAATTATAAAATTCTTATTTTCTATCTATAATACTCATTAAATAATTATTTTCTATCTATTGTACCCATTAATCGTGTTATTCGTGTCGAATCTTAATTTGATACATTTATTACTCGGGTCAACTAATCGTGTTATTTTCGGATTCGTGTCGGGTTCGGTTTGATTCAAAAATTGACACCCCATATTTAGGTTTTAATTTTTAAATTTTATTTTGAATTATATAGTATTTTTTAAAACAAAAACAGTACGCGCAAAACAAGGCCCCATGGACCAATCCACGTGCCTCACCGCCCACAGGAATAACCTACGACTATTTTTCTGTCTGACATATTTTGAGAACCATGAATTAATAATACCCAGAATCATATGACCTAATTCAATGCTCCTTTCTTAGAATACAATCCCTTACGACTACACCAACTTGTAGTGTATGTCATACAACTCAGACAAATCTTCAATCCTGCTATCTGTCCTGCCATTTTTTTGTTTGATTCATACAGGCTGACCCGAAATATTTTGGAACCTAAAGTGAAAAACATAAATAAGATTTTTATATTTTAAAATAAATTTAAATTTTTTATTTTTTTAAATATAAAACTATTATTAAAATTTTTGTATTCAAGTTTTTATTACAATATTGGAAATTGATGGTAAGAGAGAGAAAAAAAAATGAAAAGTTAAAATGGTAAATTTAAACTTGATTTTTTAAAAGTTTTAGGGCTTGTTTGGTTTGTATTTTAAAAACTAAAATCCGAAAATTATTTTTGAGAAAAATTTTAAGAAAGTGTTTTTAAATATTTTTAAATTACAAAACCTGTTTGCTTAATATTTTTAAAAATAATTTTTAAAAATAAAAATTATAAAATTTATTTGAACAACAATCCATAATTCCCACGTCTCTTCGACGCTTTGCCTCTGTCTCTTTCGCTGTGTATCACCCACCACCCACAATCGAGAACCACCGTCAACCCAACACCCACAACCACCACCAACCCCCGCCGAGAACCACCCACCACCAAGACCACCACCCACCGCCGAAGAAGAAGAAGTTGCGAAGGAGAGAGAAAGAGACGGTGGAGGCTATTCAGATCTGTTCTCAAATCTGTGTATGGATCTGTGTTCTGGCAGCTGTTGGAGCTCCATTGGATGACTGGTGCCTTCGTTGGTGGACCCACTTGCTGATTTGACGAATTGAGGATAGGGCTTCGCTGGATTTGGGGATGAGGCTTCACTGGGTTTGGGGTTTTCAGAGCAATGGAGGTGGGTTCACTGGTGGTGGTACTCCGGTGGCTTTGGTGGCAGTAGACGACAGAACAGGGAAGAAGCAAAAAGAATTTTTTTGTCTCCAATGAAATTCGAAGGGGAGACCTCATTAATTTAGTGATAGGTTATTTCCCTTGTTTTCATTTTGCCTTAAAAAACAATGATAACATTATTTTATTGTTCTCTAAAATTACATCTCATTTCTCATAATTTTTAAAAAATTGGAGAACAAAAAAACTAAACAAACAACATCTCTTTGTTTTTAGAATTTTAACAACAAAAAACAGTTTTCGAAAACCAAATCAAACACCCCTAGTTTTACTATTAATTTTTTCTTCTTTTTTTAAAAAAATAAATAATTTTAAGGCCTTCTAATTTCACAATTGAATTAATAGGTGCAATCTATTTAAGTTGAAATTTTTTGTTAGACCATGAATTTAAATTTTTTATTTGGACTATTACTGTACACCTATAAATTATGGAATCTTCATTGAAGTGAGGTCTTATTTTTTTTTTGATTCGGCTTTTATTTTTATAAAACATTTTTGTGGGGTTTAAAATATTTATGGATTTAATTTTTTTTACATGGACTATTTATGATATCTAAAAATTTAGAATTTTTTTAAAAAATGAGACCTAAATGCCAAACTTTTTTAACAACACTGTTGAGCTGGCCCTAGATTAATATTTTAATTTTTTTTTGTCTAGCATTATTATAAAGAATAAAGACAACTAAGTTCAAACCCACGATCTTAAAGTGTAACAACGAGACGATAACTATTAGATCAACCTCTAAGTTTAGATAATTATTCAAACTAGGAGTACTTTACTCCGGACTTGAGAATTTGATTCAAATTTCAAATGTATATAATAATAATTTATATTAGATAAGTAAAAAAATAATTTAAAAATTAAACTTAAGTTTTCACAATAACAATACTTGGAATCTTTTGCAACAATAAATCCCAATGAAATTGACTATTTTTGAAGTTATTCGTGCTTGATTAATATTGACATTAGATCATAGCCAATAAGATTTTACCACATCATCTCTCAAACTTTTTTCATATTAATTATTTATAATTAAAATATTTTCAAAAATTTTCATAATCTATCAAAGTTTTATTTCGGTCAATCAAACATTATTTGGAAAAGAAAATATATGTAAAACAAATACAGTGGGACCGACATAAAGACGTGGCTGGATAGCATCGATAGGTTAGATATAAAAGATATGGGGTCCACAAGTCACTATCACGTGCAGTCTTGGCTTCTAGTTGGCTGTATGTACAAGTGATATTTGATACAAAACAGTGCACTTTTAATCCTTGCGCATGCTATATGTGAGATGACTCAACCCTTACTCGACAAAAGATCTATCTCTCAACCACTCTCTTCGTACGTAGATTGGTCAGTTCAAATATCAGTTAAAGAATATTATTTTTTAATATTATAATTAAATTTTTTATATATATATTAGAATCGAAAATAACATTTTATCCGTTGCTCTGAATGTTAAAAAATAAGTTTAACTTAATCAAATTATCATAATTGTAAGAATTCGAACCTAAATATTAAGCGAAGAAATCTATGGTTTCACTCATTGGCTGACTTGCACCAAACGCTCGGTGATAATCCCCCCTCCATTAATCAAAAACACGTTTTATCTTTACTATTCAGTTTGACTAGGAAACATTTATATTGACATTAAACTCAAATACGAGTCATTTGTAGCAATCGAACCTTCACTTTAACAAGAGCAAGTCATGGGACAAAATGGAAATACCCGTTTATCCGGAGTTCAATTTCTCTTGCTCATATACAACTCTTGTTTAATGAATGCGCCTAATTTGCGGGTCATATACATCTAAAAATTATGTTTTTATTCAGTCAAAGTTTGGAACCTTCACATAGTGACCTACTTGACTATTGAAAATTTGAAATTCAAGTTCTTATCATGTGATTGTGATTAGGAAAAAAGGGTCGTCTGTTACACCAACTTGATCATAAAAGCTACCAGCTATCTGCTTTAAAACACGAAACTGTTCACCTAATCCTATCTTAATGTGTATACATGATTGAGGATGCTTACAGCTAGCAACTTAATTGTCTTTTTCCTCTAATTCCAGTCACTATGTCATAATCAGTTACATGTTCCCGTGCACTTACTTGGTAAATTTCAAGTGACATGCTATTTTATCTTTATCTTGATATTTCTTGATGGGGGCCACAGCAAAAAATCTCCATTGAGAAAACTTAAATGCATGCAATGCAACCATCAAAGCTACGCAATCTCAAAAATTCTTATTAGAAAAACCATTTTCAAATTAATATTGATCATAATAACCTCTAAATTAGACTAAAAAGATGAGTAATTGAGTTACGCATCCCCTTAATTTCACTCCGAGATCTGGGGGGTTGAGCCTTATCACTAGAGGTAGTGGTGTTCAATTTTTTGATTATTTGAATATTTCAATCCTATTTGATTTTATCCTACCTATTAATTGGCTATCGCAAAAAAATCGAGTAGGCCAATAGAAAAATTTTTTGTATTCTACAAAAAAATTTGATAGGACCGTAGGAATACGAAATATCCATAAAAATTTCATCTTTCTATCCGACCCTAACCATATATATGTGTGTGTGTGTGTGTTAAATTTTTAACAGTTCAACATTTTTAATATTATTGTGTTAGTTAATTGGTGTAGGTTACTTAATTGAATTGTTAAAATAATTCAAAAATTAATAAACTAAAAAATATTGTGTTCAGCCGATTGTTTTGGACAGAATTCGGGTAGAAATAGTACACTTGATCGGGTAGAGTAGGTTAAGAAAAATCTCTTTTGCTAAAAATTTAGGTAAGATGATAAAATATCATAATTTCTAATGGTAAGATAGAATAAACACCTCTAAGACTTACGCAGTAGAAGTAAGATATAATTCTTATCATGTCAGAGACTTGAATTTTATTGTCGATTCCTATCTCTCTTTCCTTGTAAATAAACGCAGACCGAAGAAATATTTATGTGTATTCTAATTCATTTTTTTTTTCATGTGCTAAAATGCATGTATTATAGACAGATAAAATTTATAAAGTAGTATTCAATTTTTTTTTAATTTTCTATTCATCTTTTTATTTTAAAAAAAATAGCTTTTGTGGTCTTATTAATGTTTAATCAACTATGATGATTTTAGATGGTAGTGCTGGTGAATACTTGTCAGTCACTTCACTAATCCTTCTAGCTGTATTTGTCAAGAACTGTAGTTGCAAATAGATGGAGTTGACCTTTACCAAGAATGTGACAATAGAAAAAGGCATGGGGGTGATACTCTAAATAGGATAAAGAGTTGGACACTGCGATATATAATTTTCAACCAAATTACAATTCAATATTTAGTTGAATTGGGTTAAATTGGATTAGACTAAAATAAATCTAATCTATTTTTTACTCACGTAGTAAATTAGTTATAATAAGTTGGATTTATGACGGGGTTGAGTTAAACCTATTAACCCATAAAATAATTAAAATTCTTAATACACACATTAGTACACAAAAATACACACACACATTAATAGTATATCAAAATACAAACATATGCACACGCACACACAAATACTACAAAATAAGCANATTTATTACAAGGAGAATTAAGAATCATACAAATCATATCAAATAAATATGGATGGGAGTGGAAAACATATGTATATACATAAACCCTAGCCTCAATGTAAGAAATTAGGAAGAAATCCCCTACCTCTTGGTTGTAGCTTCAATCTAAGACCCAAGATTCAAAATCTTCCTATTCTCCTTCCTTTTCCTCTTAATTTCGTCCTCCTAGGGTTTCTAGAGATTTGGGTGTGAGTGGTTGAGGAATAGAAGCAAAAGAAATGGGTGGAGAAGAGAAAACTTGAGAAATTCGGTTTTGATCTTTATGAGGTGGGAATCTCTCTTGACCTTGGTGTTTTTCTCTCCCTTTTCTCTTCTCTTAGGGCTCTAAGGTATTTAGAGTGGAAGGGAAATGAAGAATGGGAGAAATAGGGCTTGGAATGGATGTTTTAAAACCCAAAAATCCCTACTTTTACTGTTCATCGTCTGTTTTGGGAGTTTTTCAGACTTACTGTTTTCCTTATTTTTGATCATGATAAACTTTGAATCTGAAAAAGTGCAAAACATGAAAGTTGTAGATCTAGATGTCTTCTGCATTGTGTCAAAATTTCAGCTCAATCGGACCATTGTAGCAAGAGTTATGACGATTCTACGACAACTGGTCCGGAGTAGGCAATGTACCCGGAGCAGCGCCCCAGCGCCCATTTGGGCGCCCCTTTTCACTTCCAATCCTTCCAACTTTAATCCTAACTTATCCTACATACTTTTCTACATCGACCTAATTAGTTCAAGTTCTTTTATGATTTATTTTGTACATTTTCATACCGAAACTAATCTTTTAACTATTTTTTCCTTGAGTTATACTATTTTAACATTTCAAATGAAATAATTACTGAACACCTATGTCTTTTTTTTTTTTTTTAAACGCATGTGGGGTATTACAACAATACACACATAATAGGTCGAGTCAATTGTGGACTATGAGTTGGTTGTGGGTCATGGGTCAANTTTAAATAGATCTCAAGTTTAAGCCATACAGTAGTTAAGGAGAGAAATAAATTAAGTTTAACCATAACAAATCATTTCCAACATTAAGTCAATTAAGAGGGGCTCCCTCCGATGCATCGTCCCATACCAATGCACCGGCCAAGCCATTCCAGCCAATCATCACATTTATGTTGGTTCATCCCCGTACCATGTATGTTGATTGTTTCTCATGAATCTACCCAACGATTATACCTAGTCCACCCATTTATAATCACAATCACAAGTACTTAGGGAAGGGGCGTCTACCATCCCAATGGCAGTGACGAGTCCCTCCCCAGGAATGGTATACCAACCCTAGTTCGAACTCCAGGCGTACGATAGTGGTCGCATTACCAAATGACAACTCANTTTTTTTTTTTTTTAAACGCATGTGGGGTATTACAACAATACACACATAATAGGTCGAGTCAATTGTGGACTATGAGTTGGTTGTGGGTCATGGGTCAACCCATGAGTTGTGGATCAACCCGAGGGTCATGGGTGGTGTATTAGTGTGTGTGTTTTTTGATATATTAATATTATTTTATGCTAATTCTGAAGAAAGTATTATGTCTGATTAAATAAAAATATTAGGTGCGATTAAATAAAAAATAATATAATTCAATATTTTGTTACCTTACAATACATCTATCAAACGAACCCTAAAAGAGTTTTGATAAGATAGAGTGCATGAGAAATTCTTTTTCTTAAATTTTATTTTCTCCTAATTTTGAACTATTTAATTGAATTTTTCAATTGAATTTCGACATGTCACCTTTATAATCACTTTCAATTTTTTTGATAATGAATTTATATTTAAATTCTTATGTTAGGATGAGATAGGGATATAAGTGTGGTGGCGATGGGTTGTGGTTAGGGGTGTTCACCTTATCTTACGGGTAGGAAATATGCTCTTCTGTTTTTGTACTCGATACTTTGCGGAAGAGTTTTTTCTTGGTTTACCCTACCCGACAAGTGTGGTATTCCTATCCGACTTCCTACCCGATTAATTGGGTAGTAAGTCGGGTAGAAAATTGGGTAAATATTTTTGTAACAATTAATTTTTGGATTATTTTAACAATTTAATTAAATAACATGTACCAATTTAACAACACAATAAATTAATTAACACTAAAAATCTAAAACAACTACAACAAGAATTATAATAAAACACAAGAAGTAATATGAACATAATCCACCATAATTGTTATACAAATACAATAACAATTAATTTAAGTTTAAACTTTAAACTATATGAAATACATTAAAATTATAATTGTTTCTCCTGTGATTAGGGTTTAGAGTTTTTTTAGTTTTTTTATATATATATATTAAAAAATTATTATGGATAGGATTGGATAGAAACTTCCGGCCGATCAAAAATTTGAACACCCCTAGTTGTGGTGGGGGGTGGGAGTAGGAGTCGCAATGACGAAATATAGATATTATAAATTTTGTGTATTGCACAAAGTGACCACTAATATATTTTTTTTTTTGGGGATCAACACCCCCCAACAATTTTTCAGCANAGATATTATAAATTTTGTGTATTGCACAAAGTGACCACTAATATATTTTGTTTTTGGGGATCAATACCCCCCCAACAATTTTTCAGTAAATCCACGTCACCCAACAATTTTTCTTCTTTTTTTTTTGATCAGCCCCAACAATTTTTCAGTGGGTCCAAATCCAATCCATTGTCTTCCATACGCGCGCGATACAAGTAGTAAATCCCCATAAGCGCCCCAGGCAAGGTCAAATAATCGTTTGGGCACAGAAGTTGTAAAAACGCCAGATTCGCTGACACTTCCTCTTGTTCCACACCTTAGAGCGCCACATCACTACCCAATCACTTTTCTCCACGTCACCTCCCAAATCAACGGCCTGTATCTCGTCTCCATCCTCGAGTCAATGGTCACGATTCCGTGATCTAGACTCTTCCAAATCAAGATCACAAGAGAGAGAGATAGAGAAAGACTGTATATAACCAGGGTCTAACCAGGGTTAGTTGTTATAGAGAGAGAAAGAGAGAGGGAGAGCAGAATTAAAGCAACATTCGGAGAAAGAGCGAGACAGAGAGAGGAGAGCGAGAAAGAGAGATAAAGAAGTGAGCAAGAAAGAGCGAAGGGAGGGTTTTGGTGGCTTGGACAACAGGATTTAGGGCGGACTTGAATCGAATCCTAGCCGTTTGAACCTTCTCTGATTCCGACTGTTGGGGAATTTGAATCTTCGTACGTCGTTGATCACCGGTTTCCCCTTGGCTTTAGATTGTTCGCTGTTGTGTGATTGACAGATAGAGGGAGGATTGCGCAGATCTGGCCCTCTGGTGAGTTTACTTGTTCGATGTTTTGGATCTCGCAATGTGTTTTCATTCAATAAGGATCTCTCAGTGATGATTCTTTGTTGATTCGATCAGATTTCTGAGTTACTAAGGGAAACTTGTTTGAATTCAATTTGTTTCTATTCTTTCAAGGGATTAAACCTCCCTTTGTAGGATTTTTGTGTGTCTTTTTTTCCAGTTTTGAACGGAAAATGCTGATAATGCAGAAAATGTTACTCCTGTTCATCAGCGCAGTTTGGTATCTAAATTAGTTTCTCAGATATCTAAAATTTAGAGATGCAAAGTGATTATGAAAATGCTTAATTGCTTAACAACTGTATATACGTTAGTGTGTCGGTTCTTTTACAGATATTTGTTTTGATTTCTTGACGTACTCTTGGTTTGGCTGCCTAAAAATCGTACGAAAAGGGCGTCATCTCAGATTCTCGTAGTGTCCAAAAACTAGTGGACTTTGTTCATCTGTTGTTCATGTCTTAGTTTCTTCGATTATGGATCTTTACACTAGGCGATTTAAGAGTTGATATTTGAGTTTGTCTTGTGATTAACACTCTGGATTGAGTTAGTAGTTTGTACTGTCAGCATCTTTATTAGACTTATTGGGTATTTTTTTCCCGTCGCATTTTGTGATTCATCTTATTTCTTTGACAGAGCGGTGTCTACTGCGTCATCCTTATCAAGCAGATGACTTTATTGATTTAGCAAACTCGACTGTGCTTTCTGTGTTCCTGGTATTGTGGTGTGCTTTGTTCTGTTTTGGAAATAATGGAGGCTGTTTAGATTCTACTTCCCTGATTAATGATAGTGTGCGGATCATTCTTCTACTTCATCCTGTCTCAATCGGCTTCTGAGTTTGGCGTCCACTTGAGAGTTAGAAAAAAGCTCTCGTCTGCCGCCATCTCTGTTGCCGGCTGTGAAAACCAGTATAGGTCGTTCTCTTCCTTTCATGTTTCCTAACCTGGACAGCCCTGTTCAGACGCAGATGGCTGTGGCAGTGTTTAAGAGTCCGCTTGGTGGGGAGTACCATGGAAGTAATAGGATGGAGGGTAAACCTGCAGGGAGGAGACGTGTTTTTGTACAAACTGAGACTGGTTGCGTTTTGGGGATGGAGTTAGATCGGCGTGACAATGCACATACAGTGAAAAGGCGATTGCAGCTTGCCCTCAATGTTCCCACTGAGGAGAGCTCATTGACATTTGGTGATATGGAGCTGAAGAACGACCTCAGTGCTGTTCGAAAGGATTATCCTCTTCTACTAACACGGAATTTAATGCATAGGAGTTCGTCAACTCCTTGTCTTTCACCTACTGGGAGGGATATCCAACAGAGAGATCAGAGTGGTCCGATTGAGATCTTGGGGCAATCACCTCGCTTTGCCAGAACAAAACTACTTGTCAAGGATATTGCCAAGGCGATGAAGATTGGGGTTGATCCGATCCCTGTTCATAGTGGGCTTGGTGGTGCATATTATTTCAGAAACAGCAAAGGTGAGAGTGTTGCCATAGTGAAGCCAACTGATGAAGAACCATTTGCGCCAAACAATCCGAAAGGATTTGTGGGTAAAGCTCTGGGCCAACCAGGCTTGAAAGGTTCAGTGCGGATTGGGGAAACAGGGTTCAGAGAAGTTGCAGCTTATCTTCTTGACTNACTGATGAAGAACCATTTGCGCCAAACAATCCGAAAGGATTTGTGGGTAAAGCTCTCGGCCAACCAGGCTTGAAAGGTTCAGTGCGGATTGGGGAAACAGGGTTCAGAGAAGTTGCAGCTTATCTTCTTGATTATGATCACTTTGCTAATGTACCTCCCACTGCACTGGTGAAGATCACTCATTCAATCTTCAATATCAATGACGGAGCAATTGGAAACAAGCCTCAAAACAAGAAGCTTGTCAGTAAGATTGCCTCATTTCAGGAGTTCATCCCACATGATTTTGATGCCAGTGATCATGGAACCTCAAGCTTCCCTGTTGCTGCTGTACATCGAATTGGAATCTTAGACATTAGGATTTTCAACACAGATAGGCATGCAGGAAACCTTTTGGTGAGGAAGCTTGATGGTATTGGGAGGTTTGGTCAAGTGGAACTGACTCCAATTGATCATGGTCTCTGTTTGCCAGAAAGTTTGGAGGATCCATACTTCGAGTGGATCCACTGGCCTCAGGCTTCAATACCATTCTCAGAGGATGAGCTTGAGTACATAGAGAATCTTGATCCTAATAGGGACTCTGAGATGCTACGAAGTGAGCTTCCCATGATTCGAGAGGCTTGCCTCCGAGTCTTGGTTCTCTGCACAGTTTTCCTCAAGGAAGCTGCTGTTTTTGGTCTCTGTCTCGCTGAAATTGGTGAGATGATGAGTAGGGAGTTTCGTGCTGGTGAGGAGGAACCTAGTGAGCTTGAGGTTGTATGTATTGAGGCGAGGATGCTGATGGCCGAGAGGGAGATTATATCTCCCAAGGCTGAAGAAGCAGATGAGGGCTTCCAATTTGATATGGACTGTGAGGAAGCAGGAGGATTTGACTTCACTAGGAAGATGGTATCAGAGGACTACATGACTGGGATGCCATTCCATTTTGGTTTTGGAGGTGGTAATGGCCGTTCTCCATTTTCTAGAATAGAGGAAAGCATTGAGGAGGAGGAAAGTGATGATGAAGACGACGACGACGACGAAAAGAGATTTGTAGGTCTTCCAGCCACTGGTAAGATCCCAACCGTTTCTAAGCTGTCAATGTCCCTCAAGAATACCAGTTTCGGTGAGAAGATCCCGAAATACCAGAAATTATCTGGAGCAAAACTAGAAAATGGGTACCTGGCTGCTTCATCATCCGGCCATAGCAGTGCAAATGAGCAGCTTCCAGCAAGCGTGAGCTTTGTGAAGCTAGCAGACATGACCGAGGAGGAATGGGCACTGTTTTTAGAGAAGTTCCAAGAGCTGCTGTACCCAGCATTTGCCAAGCGGAAGTCTGTGACACTCGGTCAGAAGCAGAGACAGAGGCTCGGGACCTCTTGCCAGTTTTGAGAGAGCCGTATAACTACATTTTGAAAACGAATAAGACTGCAGGCTTGTTGGAGTGAAGGATTCTTAGGGTAGGCTTGGTTTATGGTTTTTCTCCCCGGAAGTTGTTTTACCAGGGAGTAGATGTAGGAGGAAGTGGTGTAAATATTCTTGGAGGCATCTCAAGTGAAAGGGCTGATTAGAATTGGTTGTATTTTTTGTGTTTCAACTTTTCCTTTTTTTTTTTTTAACTCACTCCTGATNTGAAGGTTATCGATGACTTGTTTGTGTCAGTCGATTTTGTGTTGACTTATTTATTTGACGTGTCAATCATATTCATCTATTTATCACTTAAATCTACAAAGACAAACCCAAATCCGTACCTGCAAAACAATGAACAATCTAAACAAAAAGTACNTTTTTTTTTTTTTAACTCACTCCTGATGGACTTGTTTGATAAATAATTTGTAGAATGAAATTTTAAAAAAAAAAAAAAAAAAGTCATGTAGAAATTGAACTTTGTTTCTTGAACTATTTTTCTATGATTTGTCTTTCTTGTTAGCTTGTAATGAAAGATTCTTGCCTCGCTTCCTATTCATTTTTGGGGATCCAAAGCAAGAGGTGATTTTGAGAATCAACCAATGGACAAGTAGTTGTGAAGGTGGGAAATTGAAGATGTAGACATAAAAGTAGGGTGTAATTCAGGCGGGTTGGACAATCAACGTTAGTCTACCTTTAGGTATATAATTTTTAATTATAACCCTAACTTTAATCCTATCTTGGGTTGGAAAACTCAACTTGGCACTGTCCAAGTTTAATTCGGGTGGGTTCGGGTTGAATTTGAATTAATAATTTCGGGTTGATTTTCGGTTATTTTACGGTTTCAATTTGAGTAGAGCCCAAAATAGACTTGTTGTTCTAAATCTAATATATATATTATATAATATTCACCTAAATTAACAACTAATAATTTAAATTAAGTTTTTAACGAGAGAGGTTGAAAGAACGAGAGAAGCAAAGAGAACGAAAGAGACAGAGAACGATAGAACAAAAATGAAAAATTAGTGTTAATATTTTATATATATAATTTTTTTTTTAATTTGTCGGGTTTGGGTTGATCTCGGGTTCACGAGACCTTAATCCGAGCCCAACTCAAAATTGAATTCGAATTTGAGTTTTTCAACCCAAATATTAAAAATTTTTGCCTAAGCCTTAATTTTTTAGAGTTAGACTCGTGTTGAAATCGGATTGTCCAACTCAAATTGCACCCCAACATAAAAGGGGCCGGTGTTTATATTTACGAGAACGTGTTTCCATTCTTCCTAGTATGTTATTCAATTGAGCAATGCTATAGACATCAGAGTCATGTTGTGTTATGTAGCTACGTCATGGTTGCTCGAAATCATTATACAAGACAAGAATTATAAAGAAATTCGGCCATTGCTGACATTCTAAGCAGAAAAAAGAAAAAAAAGGTAGGAAAAGATGCAAAGAAACATCATTTGATGGGTTACCAATTCCATCAAATTCACTGACGGCTTTTCAACTCAATAGAATAGTAGATAATTGAGGGATTTGAAGAGGGTCGCACGTATGCAATCTTACTCCTCCGAGAATATTATTCTTATGATTCAAGTTTCAATAGAGCAATATTATCAGACACGCCCTCGGCTATGAAGAGCAAGTCCGGCTTGAATTTAGCTAAACAAACTTAGCAATATATGGTTCACTAAGAGTCTTATCAATCCAATAAAGTTATTTAAAAACATGGTTCAAAGTAATATGAAACCTCAAGTATTGCACGAGTTGTATCCGAATTAATTTCGAGTTATTGTCATTGAATCGGTTGATACGATTCCGCAACGCTATGATATGACTTGAATCTCTAATCATATTCAACATTTTCTTTTGAGTTATATTACCCGATATCTAATCGTAACACCACCACCGATATATCTTAGAGTTTTCTAAATCGATAACTGATACCACAATCTTAAATGATACTCATAAATGGTCGTTGAATACAGAATTATAATGATTAAATCAAAGTTATCATAGAAGCTTAAAAGCTTATAGTTTTGTTGAAGGTCTTCATCAGTAGTCAAATTTTAAGCAGACAGGACCTCTCCAATCTCCACATATGGCAGCAAATGAAAAAGCTGATGAAATTTGACTGTAAGTTAACGTAAAGCAACTAAGAATACAAAAGAAGATAATAATAGTTTGGATGGCAATGAACGTGGCAACCTAATCCTGATTGCCCCTATTTTGTTTTTGTATACCCACTTGTTCTTCCTGTGGGGTTCATGTGGCCGGCTTAGAATTCAAGTTATAATGATGGGGGCATGGCTATAGTATCGCAAAAAAAAAAAATCAGTATCACACTGAAATTGATTTATAGTCATATATTTTAGTTTGATTAATTGTAAAAATAATAAATTAAAGTTGAATAATTAAATAAAAAAATACCCATGTTACGTATTTATCGGATGAAGGTGAAGGTGTTAGTATCAAAAAATTATTTTTTGATATTATATTTAGTCTTGAACGATAGAGGAGGAAAGCGACAAAAGTGGGCTGAGAGCATTCTAGTTGTCCATGAATAAGGTATTAAGGCATTATAGTTATGTTTGGCAAAAGGCTACCTTGAAAATCAATGCATTTGATTATGCCTAAAAAGCTTGCATTATTGTCCTTCATTGTGTGCTCTCTATGATCATTTATACACTGTTTCTGATGAAGAAACTCATTTCTTTACAGTTCGGCAGACTGCTTTTGGTCTTGTATAATGAGGGAGGAACCTACCTGCCCTGCTTCTAGGGTAATAAAGAATGAAAGCTCTACATGTATGTGGTAGATGCAAATGAACCTCAGCATGAAAGTGCGTGAAGGTTATCGATGACTTGTTTGTGTCAGTCGATTTTGTGTTGACTTATTTATTTGACGTGTCAATCATATTCATCTATTTATCACTTAAATCTACAAAGACAAACCCAAATCCGTACCTGCAAAACAATGAACAATCTAAACAAAAAGTACAAGTTTCTAAACCTAGCTAGCAGACTTCTAGGTTTTGCTTCAAGATCTGATCCTAGCGGCTGAACTAAAAGCACATGATATATATTGCTTAAAGAAACACCTCAATGTCTCATTTTTTTTTTTCTGAAATCATATTTGAACTTGGTTAGTAGCCACAGCTCTTCCTTGTTGCATTCTCCTAGAAGGTCCTTGCCCCTTCAAATGTCAGTTTCGTGTTACCAAAACCTTTCATCAAGCTGGTCTTCCACTGATCTACCTACCACAAAATCCGCATGGTAATAGTTTACTGCAACTTATATGATAGAATAGGTTCTTTCTATTAAAGGCCTCCAGCTTGAAACAGTCTCTTTCTACGATCAGGGGTTGCATCCATTATAGCAAACTTTTAAATACCAGTCTTAGGCTTTGCATAAAAATGAAACTGATTACATGTAGAAATTCCTCCATATCAATAATTGTTAAGCACAAGATATCTACAAGTACTCTTTCTGGAGTCTGGACTACATGCCTACAACTATCTCATGTGAAATCAAGTTGGTTGATGGTTATGACTATTTTCTGTTGATGTAATCAGTTGTGCCTGATAAATTCTTTGATAGAAGAAATTATTGGAGATGATCCAATCATCGAGCATTTCCTTGTAGAAAATGCACGNGTGGTAGATGCAAATGAACCTCAGCATGAAAGTGCGTGAAGGTTATCGATGACTTGTTTGTGTCAGTCGATTTTGTGTTGACTTATTTATTTAACGTGTCAATCATATTCATCTATTTATCACCTAAATCCACAAAGACTAACCCAAATCCGTACCTGCAAAACAATGAACAATCTAAACAAAAAGTACCNCGGCTTGAATTTAGCTAAACAAACTTAGCAATATATGGTTCACTAAGAGTCTTATCAATCCAATAAAGTTATTTAAAAACATGGTTCAAAGTAATATGAAACCTCAAGTATCGCACGAGTTGTATCTGAATTAATTTCGAGTTATTGTCATTGAATCGGCTGATACGATTCCGCAACGCTGTGATATGACTTNTTCCATTCTTCCTAGTATGTTATTCAATTGAGCAATGCTATAGACATCAGAGTCATGTTGTGATATGTAGCTACGTCTTGGTTGTTCGAAATCATTATACAAGACAAGAATTATAAAGAAATTCGGCCATTGCTGACATTCTAAGCAGAAAAAAGAAAAAAAAGGTAGGAAAAGATGCAAAGAAACATCATTTGATGGGTTACCAATTCCATCAAATTCACTGACGGCTTTTCAACTCAATAGAATAGTAGATAATTGAGGGATTTGAAGAGGGTCGCACGTATGCAATCTTACTCCTCCGAGAATATTATTCTTATGATTCAAGTTTCAATAGAGCAATATTATCAGACACGCCCTCGGCTATGAAGAGCAAGTCCGGCTTGAATTTAGCTAAACAAACTTAGCAATATATGGTTCACTAAGAGTCTTATCAATCCAATAAAGTTATTTAAAAACATGGTTCAAAGTAATATGAAACCTCAAGTATTGCACGAGTTGTATCCGAATTAATTTCGAGTTATTGTCATTGAATCGGTTGATACGATTCCGCAACGCTATGATATGACTTGAATCTCTAATCATATTCAACATTTTCTTTTGAGTTATATTACCCGATATCTAATCGTAACACCACCACCGATATATCTTAGAGTTTTCTAAATCGATAACTGATACCACAATCTTAAATGATACTCATAAATGGTCGTTGAATACAGAATTATAATGATTAAATCAAAGTTATCATAGAAGCTTAAAAGCTTATAGTTTTGTTGAAGGTCTTCATCAGTAGTCAAATTTTAAGCAGACAGGACCTCTCCAATCTCCACATATGGCAGCAAATGAAAAAGCTGATGAAATTTGACTGTAAGTTAACGTAAAGCAACTAAGAATACAAAAGAAGATAATAATAGTTTGGATGGCAATGAACGTGGCAACCTAATCCTGA